CCTTCGTTGCATACAGTGAAACCGCGAAAGTGGGATAACCCTAAAGACAATCCAGCTCACATGATTCGTAGGCTTCGTTCTTTGTACAAGTATTCTGGCCCTCAGTCTTTAGGGTTATCCCACTTTCGCGGTTTCACTGTATGCAACGAAGGCGCTGCGACCTTCATAAAAGGGAATTCTGACACCTCCCTAGTTATCCCCGAAATTCAAAGGCACGGCAGCGATGACCCATGAAAATGCAAGGGGTTATGTGGGAAGGTAGTGCGGTCCGGAGTGGACACTGTGCCAGTTTCGCGGCGGAAAGTTGTACGGTAAAGGAATTAAGGCGCAAAGTTGCTTCAGTGGTACATCCCTTTTTCCAGTGACTCCGCCTCCAGACTCCGCCTCCAAAGTCGGCCTTCCAGCCAAAAGTAATGCTCCCGGGCAAGTATCATGGAGTGGATGCATTCAATGTCTCTTGTAGAGTCATAGGGTTCATTACTGGGAATCAGCCAACGGGAATCGTCCCAGCGCGCGGTCTTTTCGGTCTTTCACCCCTGCAATTGTTTGAGGCTGGAGGAGTCCTGATGAATGCGTTTCCAACGTTCCCTTTGACATTTTCTCTTCACAGACGGTTCACTTGGCGTCGCGGACCGTGCCTTTAAAGGCTACGGTCTACGCTTTAACACCACGCTTTTAATTTACTTTGACTGTTAGGTTGTGTCAGCATGGACGACGCGAAGAAACGATCAGTGAGCCAGTGGTGAAAGGATATCACTTTGCTGGCATGAAACGTGCTGGTCCGGACAACTCGCACAGAGGAGGCTGTGAGGACGTTATTTAGGGTGTTCCCCACTGTGTTTTTTTTCGCTTCTTTCTTCCCTGGAGGATTATTTAGCGACTATAGATTATAACTGAGATCACTATGCACAATTACAGTCGCGGAGTTTGCCTTCAATTCATTAATTGTACCCGTGGTGAGTGGCTCACCTGAAACCTCAAGCCATTCGGATATGGGGGCTTAAATAAAAGCTGTACTTCACCCCCGTGGATTTAAGTCTTTGCCGTGTACGAGGCGAATGGGTATACAGCTGGGCTAATGCCGTTTGGACTCCAGAAATTTCGTCTTCGAGCTCATTTTAAAAGTGGCAAGATCACCAAATCCGCTAAAAACTTGTATATAGGGGTAATTCAACATCCTGATCACGAATATGACATTCATTTTTGGCGCTGGCGCTAATGGATGACACTACGGTTACCTGCGCTCTGCTAAGGCTGAGCCCAGGAGGTAATCGTAGTGTCCTCTCTTGGCGCCAGCGCCAAGAATGAGTGTCATACTCGTAATGTTGAATTACCCCTATATACAAGTTTTTAGTGGATTTGGTGACTTAGGCAATTTGAAAATGAGCTCGAAGACGAAATTTCTGGAGTCCAAACGGCATTAGCCATACAGCTGCAGTACATTTTTCAGCTCAAAAGTGCACGGAAATGTTCTGGAGAGTAGTGATAGCCCGCGTGTTCCACCTGCGTCGACGGCAAGCTACATGTCTAGCCATAGTCAGACGCGCTACTTGCCTTCGGTCTTCCACTTCTGGCTGTTTTCTACCACTGCGTGTTCGCAGCAGGCTTTTGGTGTTGACGTTGCATCTTGAGGATAGCGCGGCCGAGTTGGGTGACGGCACACGGATGTCACTACCCTCCAGCACCATTTTTTTTGAGAGGACAGCGACACGCTCAAGCCGAGGGCCCATTGACCTCGTGCAGTGTTCGGATGTGAATGCACAGTTTCTCTTCACAACTTGCGCGAGGCCTGGACTATCCTCGTAGTTCATGGAAGGGTACTGTCGTGATAACCAGCCATCTTTCCACGTGCGCGGTCTAAAATTCAACCGATGGATCGGCTCTCGCACATGCCAGCTAGACCTTCTACATTCCAGGCGCAGTAAATTGGCATAAGATCGTTCGGGAGGACAAAAATACTGAATTTTACATCGGCTGTCACCGGAAGTCATTGTATGACCCACATCACATTGGATAAGAAACTACGATTCCGAATGGGGCAGAATGCGTGCAGGATCTCAAAAACATACTCATCGAACTTTTGTCCTTGCCATGCTCGTAAGTTCCGAAAAGAAACTGGCCTACCAACTTTAGGTACTTTTCGCCTCTGATTAAAGCCCGCCAATAATGTAAGGAAGGTACAGTTTGACGACGGAGGGGGGAGGGGCATTTCGCACTTTCGCCACTTCCAATGATGTGTCGACCTATGTAGACAGCCTCTTCTCGAATTGACAGGTTTTACCATGATGGCTAGATGAGCTTGCTCCAGCTTCACAAGAGTTCACAGGTTCAGCCAGAGTGAGACTTGTAAACGGAACTAGGGAAGCAATGGTAGTACAAAATGCCCCCCCCCCGTCGTCAAACTGGGCCTGTAAGGAACCCCCGATTGACATCAGCATCTAACATTCTCCTGATAAATTCAACCGATAATACCAGATTAAGGCTTTTGCAGATATCGAATAAATGCAATTGCTTTTCGGGGATATTGTACAAGATCAGCTGTTTCTTCATCACAGGCAAACCTCACCTTAGAAGTCAATCGATTCCTTTCCGATAAGGCAAGATGGAAGTTTTCTATTTGACTGCTCAAAGAAGAAATGCTTTCCTGAAAATATAAATGTTAGCAGAATGGTGACAATTGCAGGCAACAAACCTCGAATTCCCAGAGCAATTCCATTGAGCAAACTTGGCAAAACTCACTTCTTTTTCAGTCAGCTCCTTCTTCATTGTCGATAATGAAACATCGGTCGGATTACTACCTAGATCTTTAGAAAGCTCATCGATTTGCTCACTGAGTGATCGTACTGTGGTCAGTAGTGAGTCCATCAAGGACACATCCGCCTAAATAACATGTAGCACAGAGCGATGAAGAATAGAAGCGGCAATGAAATTGGATTCAGTGTCATTTCTGATTGTATTTTCCGGAAATGACTCAGAGATGGGACGTACCTTAACATCTAGCAAGCGCTTGAAAGAAGAACTTTCAGCCGCATAAGCCGTTCGGAGCCTTTCCAGCTCTTCAGTGAGAGACTCTTCTTCTTTGTTGTAGTCACTAACCTCCTTTCTCACGACTTTCACCTTACCATCCATTATTTTCCTAAACGTAATTTCGATGACGTAAAAGACCGTTCAAATGATAGAAACAATCAGGTACAGTCTGCTAGAACGAGATCCAACCACAGCGATTGCGCGCGCTCACGTAACGCTTTCACTACGCACTAACACTTCCTCTGCGCTACTCTCCCTCCTTCGTGCCCCCTCCTGCCTCCCCATATTCAACCGAACAGTGAAGCGACTACTGTGTTCCAGTGAGAGAGCTAAGAAAGAAAGATCAGGAGAGAAAGAAGCACCCGGATAAGTTTGAAGAAGGGCTAGACGGCTTCATAGCCAGGGAATCTATATTGCGGCGAGAGGATGTAGTGATCTATACTGCGGGGAGAAAGTGTAGTAAGTGCCGTTACGCGCGCAAGACTCGCAAAGGATCATACTGGTTTCACGAGAAAAAGCTCCAGTATGTCTCGTCAACCAGCAAGAAAATAACAGCTTGCTTCTATGCGTCGCACCTCTCCTTCCCCCCCCCCTCCTAAACCCTAACTACCCTAACATCGAAAAATCAACTTTGGTGGAGCACTGAATGCGTTCTACTCATTCTTAGGGACTCACTTGCACTGTTCAACATGAATAAGCGCACTGGCAAGCCGCCTCTCCTTTTCCTCTGCCTCTTGAACTTGTCGCTCTAGTCGCTCAATATCGTCAGGAACCGCTAGACTCATATCCAACAGCTAGCCATGAAAAACTGTTATAGTAACGCTCATTCCTTGACATAATAGCTTCCTACCTTTCCTGATAATTCAATAGCACCTGTTTTCGAAGTGAAGCGACGCTCACAAAGTGGACAACAAGAACGCTTTGTCACCTCCTCACTCCAAGACTCATACAGCGTCTGAATTAGGAATTGTTTAGGAAGTCGCTTGAGTATTCTATGGTGGAAAACATGAGGGAGGCAAACAGCCGTATTTACCAAATTTCGGGAGTAGTTTGAAAGTTCAGAGGCATCACTGAAAGAAAAGTCTACGAGTACTGCATTCTGTGGGAAGAAGCCACACATCTACATGCTGCATATGCTCGATGGAATAATGTCTTACAATGTATAATGTCCAAAATGTCTTAAATTTACAGATCAGCCCGATTTTGGCGTTGGCGAATACATGCTACAGTTGTTTTTGTGCAAAATGTGTTATCCGTGCTATGGAGGTCAAACTGAACCTAGGCGCAAGTTTTAGGCACACTTTGTGCTTTGAGTGTTTTGAGGTCGGCGAAATGCGGTTGTGAGCTGGATGGATTTGATATTCGTATTGAATGTATCCCGGTAGGCGAAAAATTCAGCAAACTCTGTACTGAAGAAATTTTCCATCAAAATCTGCCCTGAATTTCGAGAAGTGGGGCGGGAAGTGTATTGGCATTTGGCTAAGACCTCAGATGCCTGTTGTCGACATCTGAGAGCCGATAATTACATGTCTTTGCAGTTCTGCTTGCTATGAGAAGCGCGTCTGATATTCATCTAGAGCCAAGACTTCTGCTTATAATTCAGCAACCTTGTGATAACATGTGGTTGGCCACATGTTGCACCCGATATTCATGCGAAGTGTAGTTCCCCTCCCCCCCTGAGAAAACCTTCGACTTTGTTCGGGACTAGAAAAATCCTTCAGCTTTGTTCAGGAAGGTTCGAAGCTGCATTGGAAGACGTGTGTGCTCGTACGTAACTACCATCAAAGACATCAGCAGATCTACATTTCATTTCGGACGTTTCAAGCATTCCCATGTCGATCGAACAAGCTTCCCCGGTCAGCTACTTCAGACACTTCTGCTGATTACGTGGACTTCGATCTCCGTTGATTTTGCAAAAAAAAACCTACTCACTGCTTTAGTTCGCAGAGCAGCGAGCTCCCTTCTCGATTTCGAGAGTAGAAGACGTGTCTCTGATAGATTATCGCCAACATCTTGAGGAGCACATTCGCAGAGCTGAAATACGTATATCACGCGCATATTAGTACCTCCAATAAATGTCCTAGCTAACCATGAGTAATTATACCTCGGATATTTTCTCCCGCAGTTGTTCTACTTCGCCAACAAGTTGCTTTTCTGTATTGATGGCTTGCTGCAGAGATTGACTTATTCGATCAAGATCTCTTTCCTTCGTCCTCAGGTCGTTTTCCATGGATGCGTTCGACTCTTCCTCGGACTTTAATTTGGCGTTCACCGCAACACTACAACAGATACACTCCGGTTTTCGAAAGGGCGACGTCTTTCCAGCCTTGTAGGTAGATGGCCAGGAAAACGTTACCCCTTATTGGGCTCTGGGACACAGTCGATTCCACATGGCCTAATTTCATAGCGGCTAGCCCATTAACACGGAAATATTGTTAAGTTCTAACAATTCTCGAACCCCCACGCCATGCTTATCTGCGGATTCTGCTGGTGTGATGCGAGCCAACTGCTATTTAAGGTCGGGTCAAAATTTCCCATACCAGACAAAACAACTTTTAAAACTTGAAAAGCTTTCAGCCTCCCCGATTCATTGCCGATTTTACAAGTGGCTCATCGCGGTGAACGCGAGTTCTGCAAGACAGTTATATGGAAGCCGCTGAGCAGAGAAAGAGGCGGCCGAGCGACGGATAGCTAGACTTGCGGGTACGAGCCCCGTCTGGCGTCAAGGCTTTTGCCTATGAGAACAGCGCTCTTGTGATGGCATTGGGAGCGCGACTTGCGGCGTCAAAGAACATTCATCATATTGAAACAACGTTGCTCGTTTCTTCCTAATTTTTGCAATCCGTAATATAGTGCGGCTCGATCTAGACAGGAGCACATGCTCACTCACGTTTTTCAGACTACTCGCTGGATATCCCCATCTGAGCACACATAAAAAAACTCACCTCCAGGGACCTTCGATAACGCTTCCGAATTCGACACTTAATGTATCAGAATGCTTCTTCATGAGCGTATCCAGTTCTCGCTTAACTTCGTCCCTTTGTGCCCTCTTTCTTTCAATGACACCTTCAGTTTCAGCAAACTTTTCCGCCATCCGGCACTGTTCTTTCAAAACATCAACCTGAACGAAAGTTGCATTACCAAGGAATTAACACTGTAATAATGGCCTATCATTGCGACGACCATACCTCCTTCTGAAGCACTTGTCGCTGGCTCCGCAAGTCTTCGGTTCGTTCCTCGTCAATGACCGGCAGTTCCGATAGTAATGACTCAACACTACTGATTTGTTTATTGAGCTCGACAAGCCTGAAACACATCGATCAACCCATATCAGCTGTACTTTCAGGGGACATCGATTGTGGCGCTCACTGCTGCTGAGAAAGATTTGCTTTCTGTAGTTTCCTTTCTTCGTTGTCTATCTCACGTTTCCTCTGCTCAACTGAAGATAGCAGAGAGTTTGCTTCACAAGTCAACCTCGTTAACTCCATCTGAGCGGCATCAACTCGATTTTGGTAACTCATTCGCGCTATATTCGAAGCCTCCTGAAAGCATGATTCCAATAAGCAGCAAGCTGACAATTGGAGACCGTGGACATGATACGTTTGACGTGAAAACACCCCTGTGAACGATCACTGTATCCTCAAGATAGTAGCGGTCCCTCGTCGGTTCCGCCGTTTGAAAACACACACTGCCTGTCTATCAGTCAAGTGCTTTCGTGTATGCGGTGTAGAAAAGCACCACGTTCACCATCCCAAAATGCGCGGAAACGAAACTATAGTGTTGCGCCACAATCACGATCTAAGCGCCTCGCTACAATATTACGACGGGTCTATAATATTACGGCAAAGTTTATCATCAAGTAATATTGGTTTCATTACCAAGGTACATTTTGTTAAAGTAGACAGAGAAGTATGAAAGTTCTGAAAAACCGGCTGGTTATAAAATTCCGAACGAATTTTCTGCAATGTCAATGTGAAGTGAAATGGCAGGCCTACACACAACAATGCTTTTGCAGAAGTCCACCTCTGCATGCCTGCACTGAGTATAGATGGATAATTCAGATAAGAAAAGAGTGATGTCATCAGCTACATGCCATGCTGCGGCAAAAGAAGCATCACAAGCGGGATCACGCGCGCGGCATTCGCACCAGAGCCTAGCTGTTTCGGAGGCCTAGTGATGGTTCAGTGTGTACAGTCAGCCAGTGGTAAATACTCTGTTGAACACTGCTTTTTTTAATATTGAGCCATTTATTGTTCGACGTTTCGACTAAATCGTCGTCGTCATTAACCTGAAATGGCTGAAAGAACATTTTATTTGCAATTCAATCGGCCAGGAACGACATCGCTCTTGGCCAGCAGCAAGATCGCATATCGTGGTTCCTCCCAAAATTATTGGCCAGTTCGTGTGATATACACCATCACACTTAGCGAACACCGGGGGCCGTATGCTATACTCCCCTCGAGGGGAGGGGTCCCCTCTAGGGGAAGACACCCCAGGGGGACGTCCCCCAGAGCGGCCGTATGCTATACTCGAGGGGATCCCCGAAGCGGTAGAGACGCAGAGTTGGCTGGCGCAAATTTGGGGGAAGGGTCGTCCGTACATCCAGCCTCTGGCTTTGCACTTTGACATTTCGGAGAATCTCAAGCTAGAAGTGATGATTATCAATTGCAATCATTTGCCCTGCTATCATAAAGCTATTTTCAGGCTGAATTGTGTATTAATCAAGGTCATAGGGGTGACCACATTAATTTTTTCAACATTCTTGAATCCGCGTTCAACAAAATACTTTCTCAGTCTAAATGTTCGAAATGTAGGA